CGTGGGCCAACAGCTTCTCGATCACAAAGCCGTACGTCTCTTGCATTTTGACCAATAGGTTCTCGAAGAATAGCGACGCCTCGTCGATGATCTTATGCAACGACGTCTTGAGGTCCGCCTGTTGTTGCTGTTGTTGGCCGTCGGCGGCGGCTGTGGTGGTGGCGGCGCCCGCCTGTGGCACCGGTTCCATGAGTCGTCTGTACTGTTCGATGTACTGATAGAACGCCGATTTCCACAGTCTCTGCTCGATGTTAGTCTCGGCGCAGACCCGGAGGTCGTTAAGTATGATGTGTTCGTACCGGAGTTGGATTCGGTAGCGAATTTGTTCCACTTTTTGCGGGTCGTGGCAGTAGGAGAGGTCGTTCTCGGCAGAGGTGGCCTCCGACAGACTCTTCTCGATGATTGGCTTCAGTTTGCGGCGCGAATTGTCCGCATTCTCCACCGACGCCGCGGACATGAAGTGCGGTATCGCGTACTCGTCGCGCGACCTTAAGTACGGCGACAGTTGTTGATAATTGTCGACCGTTGCGGAGGAGTTCGTGTCCGGCGATGACGACGGCGTGTACTGCAGGTGAGGATTGTTGTCCGCAGTCGGCACGTGTTGTGTCGGCCGTATGGCAACGCACGGCTTACTGGCGTTGACCGGCTGTCGCGTCATGTGATGGCCACCGCTGTGGCCGGCGTTTGGCTGTTGTTGTGGCGGCGATTGTTGCGTCCAATCGTTGGCCGACACCTGATTGTTGGGCAACCGGATGAGCCCCCGATGCGGTGCCGATTCGGTCGCGTCGGGCGCCGTCTGCGCGGCCGCCGGTGGTAACTCTCGGAGCGAATCTCGCCGTTGACTTTCGTAATGCATTTGTTGGTTGTGTTCAGACATTTCGTTTTGCTGCTCAAAATGCGTACAAAAATACAATTACAACATGTTTTCAATAATAAATTCAACAAAAAATATCTAAATAGTAACCATTTCTACGTTAATAATACCCCCTAAAAACCATAAATAATGGTTACTATTTAGATATTGCTATATATATAGTAGTAGTAAAAGCTATTTTATTTTAAATGCATTCTGATTGGTAGCTGTATTTTTACTGATGGTCTAATAGTTGTAGTTAAGAAATTTTGGTGTAAATATGAATTTTATACCAAAATTAATTATGAATTCTAAAAACAGCGCAATATTTAGAAAATATGGTAAAAATACTTTTTTCAATTGTTGTTGTTTGAGAAAACGGGGCGGAATCTGTTGCTCGAAAGTCTTCACGTATCGGTGGTTGTGTTGCGATTTGTTTGGCCCGAAGTTGCGTTTAGGACCCGAAGCTGTCGGCGCGGCGGAGGCGGTAGTGGCCGGCGAAGACGTGGCCTCCATCTGGTGCTGTTTCGGCGGCCGAAACGGTTTACTATCATTGCTTGACCTGTAATTGCCATCGTTTCGATGATGACCTCCGGCGGCGGACACTTCACCGCCCGGTTGTGTCGGACCGCCTGTCCGTTGGCCGGCAATCGTGTTGTGACTGTTGTTGGAATTGAACCGATGATTAACGCTTCGATGGTCGGCTTTCGGGGCCCGATTCGGCTCGAACTCCACGTTATAGTAGTCCTCGTAGTCTTCGTATTTGTCCAGTTTGTGCCGTTCGGGAGGATTGCGGTCCAGATTGGGCTCATTGTGGCGCTCCTGATGTTGTTGTTGTGTCTGTGGTTTGGGTCTGCGGTGGTGTTTGTCCTCTTTATGCACATAATTGTCTTCCAATTCATTGCTTTGCCTTTTATTCACTTCATAATTGGTTGCGTTAATCGTGTTTTCGTCGTAATGCCGGTCATTAGCGGCGCTTTTGGGCGGCGGTCTGGATGTCGGCTGCGACTGCCGGTCACTCCTGTCGTGTCCTCTGGCGTCCGTTCGGTCAGACCTATCACTCCTGTCGCCAGTATTTGGATATCTTTGCCTTTTGTCATATCTGGAGGCCTTCTCGTGCCGATCGCCGCTCTTCTCCTGTTGTTGTTGTTGTCTATCATTTCGTTCAGAC